ATTCAAGATACAAGGTGATAAATTCAAAAAGAAATTTGTTATTTAGATCCTAAAGAAATATTTACTGGATTCTGTTGAAATTTGTCAATATTATTAAAGTTGTTTTTTTGATTTCCAAGGCACTTATGACTTTTTTAGCAAAAATTGATTTTGTCCAGCGACATGCAATAAAACGGTTTATATTTTTTTCTTGAAAACCAAGTGAGATACGAAAAAAATACAAGAGGCAAAGGGCAGGTTCTATTTTTAGATGCTCAATCAAAGAACATATATTAAAGTTACAAAAAAGGCAGTGACATACATTTTTTTGCCAATAGTATTCACTAAAATGCCCTCCGGGACGCCACTGGACCAAATAATTTTAATGTATACTAAGTGACATATAAATCCGAATACCCAGTTTAAATGGTTTTATTTTAATACAATTTTGTATAAGTACTTAATGAAGCATAATAAGTAAATGATAAAAATCTCAAAATGATTGCACTGCTTTAAAGCCCTTTGACCTTTAATAATGTGTGGATGCACCCTGATGTGCTACGCATTCTCCAACGCGCCTAGACATGCTTCTAATCAGGTGGTCAATATCCTCCTGTGGTATCTCATTCCAGGCAACCACCAACTCCTCTCGAAGTGCTTCTAGAGTCTGAGGAGGACGTTGCAAATTGAGCAATCTCCTACCCATCATATCCCACACGTGCTCAATTGGGGATAAGTCGGGAGATCTTGGTGGCCATGGTAACAATGTGACATCATTATGTTGAAAGAAGTCTATTGTGACTCTTGCAACATGTGGTCGGGCATTATCTTGTTGGAAAGTTGGATCTGCCCGGATGTCAAGATAGGGCAAAAGATGGGGTTCTAGAACTTCATGGATATAACGCTGCGCGTTCATGTTACCTCTGATGAAGATTAAAGGTGACCTGGAACCATAAGCTATAGCACCCCAAACCATAACTCCAGCAGTGTGATGAACATGTCTTTCAACAAGAAACTGTGGATTCCTCCTTTCACCACGTCGCCTTCTAACCCTGGCACGACCATCGTGCATACCTAAACAAAATCGAGACTCGTCACTAAAGACAATACTGTTCCATTCCTGATCCCAGAGTGACCATTGTCTGCACCACTCAAGGTGATTACGTCGGTGTTCTCGAGTTAAAGGGAGGACCCAGTGTGGCCGGCATGAAAACAAGCCAAAACTTCTCATTCGTCGGTAAATACTTCGCATGCCAATAGGTCATCCGTGTTCTGCAAACCATTCATTTGCAATGGACCTGGTAGTGGAGAAACGGTCCCTTAAGGCCAATAATCTTAGGCGGCGATCTTCACGGTCTGTTGTTCTACGGCGGCGTCCAGTGCCCCTTGCTCTTTGCGTACGGCCTTCTCGAAGCCATGCCTGACAACACCTAATCACAGTGTCTACACTTCTTTGCACTCTAACTGCGATTGCCCGAAAAGAAAGTCCAGCTTCCCGAAGTCCCACTATACGGCCCCTATCAAACTCACTAAGTTGACCAAATCGTACAGGTCTCCGTACTCTAGGCATCGTAACCGATCGTAAAAATTTTTTCACTTGTTATTTACAGTAAGATAAATACATTCACCAACTTTTATTAAAATAAAACCATTTAAACTGGGTGTTCGGATTTATATATCACTTAGTATATTTAGAACCAAATTAGGCTCTTAATATAGTAAATAATATTGTTAATGCTGAAAAGACCGAGCTGATCCTATTCACTAGGAGAAGAAGGCTTGACGGGTTGGTCATGCCGACCTTCTTTGGGAGTAGATTAGTTTTGTCCCAGTCAGTGAAATATCTGGAAATTATCCTGGATTGTAAACTGAACTGGAGAGAGCATGTTAAATACAAGGTTAGCAAGGCTCGTAATTCGATATGGGCTTGTAGACGTGTTGTCGGGGTAAGGTGGGGGTTTAAACCCAAAGTGGTATACTGGCTCTACACGTCCATCTCCCTTGTACGGCTCCCTGGTCTGGTGGCCTTGCATTAGAACTGAGACAACTAAGGCCAAACGCAATAAAATTCAGCGTCAGTTCCTTATTCCTTATTATTATAAAAAAATAATTTTGCTAAATTTTCTTGATAGTTGATATACGAGTACATGATGGTCCCATGTCATTTTCGTATGAAGATGCATACCGAGAAATTTGATATTTCTATTACTACTAGTTTTTTGGTACGGCTATTTTTGTTTAATCGCCATTCGAATTCAATTAATGTATCAACACCACAATTTTTCGTTGTGTTAGCTGCTGTAGTCTATGGCTATGTTATCTGATTGGGTCATTCTAGTCGTATCATCCGCGTACAGAATAAATATCAAATGATGCTAATAAGGCTCAATGTCATTTATGAATACCATAACGCATGAGCTCTAGGGCAGACGAGTTTCCATTCAAGAACACATATTGCTCTCTCTATAAGATATGACTTAATCAACGTGGTGCTGCTTGTGCCAAAGTCATATGCTCCAAATTTATTGAGTAATATGTCATGCCTAATGCAGTATAATGCTTTGGAAAAATGAGGCGTACCTGTATATCATTCAAACTTAAATAAGTAGAAAGCACAAAAATATGAATATGTTGAAGTGAGAAGTATATAAAATGTAGGCTGACTAAACCATATGAAAAAACTTAAATTCATTTCATCTACTTCCAATCCAAACATAGTATAAAACTTTGAAAGCGCGTCCTCAAAAGTTGCAGTTTTTGAGATACGCCTTTGTGCAGTGGTATTTCGGTGGCATTTTCAAGTACCGTGATGGGGTTTGTTCGTACAGGTTGTTCGGACAGTCAGAAAACTGATAGTCAGCGACGAGTCAAGACCTAGTTTATTCAGTTGGCTGTCACTGACATGTCGCTGACTGTAAGGTACCGGTTAGCCAATTTTGCGTCCACTAGTTTCTCCTGGAACGATCGTTGTACATCAAACTTGTCTTTATATTGATGGTGGACATGTCGCCGGTACAAACATCCACCGACGTTTGGGCTCAGTTGATCCACGATATTCTAACCTCTACATTCTATAATTTTTTGACAACTACAGTCTTGTGTAAAAAAAAATGGAAGAAGAAAAGATTGAAGTTATTCTACAGCATAGGAGTGGCGTGAAATTTTTTTAACACAATTCGAAATAAACAGAGCATCTGAAGGAAAGTGATTTTAATTTGAATTAGGTATATCTGAAAATTTCTTGGTTTTCTGATTTATAGTGCTTTTATTGATTCTTGAAGCGCAAATTCTATCCACTGGATAACTTCTTCATCCGAATAATCACTCGAATCGCTTAACAAACGATCCACGACGATACCAACTGCTGCGTACATTGCCATAATGATCTTAAATGATACGGTGTTCAAATAACAAGTATCCATTCGCGATAAAACAAAGGTTAGGTTTTCTCATATGACAGCAACCTGAAGGCTACATAAAAATGCGTCTTTTTATTTACCACCATTTGACGGAACCGGTTGCTGACGACATCACATCAGCTGTCAACCATAAGTTCACCGCTGATCCACTGTTCATACAGAAACTTCTGACTGAATTACTGTCAAATCAGTCAGCAGATTATTGTCTAGTAAATTGTCAGTGCTCGAAATCAAGTACAATCATTATTTCTAGAAGAAATAACAGCATCAAAAAATGTAAAGAAGATTTACCTAGTAATTAGCGTTTAATTTTCATTTAAATGGTATGGACATAAATTCGGAGGACTGTGATTCCACACATCGAATGAAAAGTTGAAGGAGCAAAAAGTAAGAATTCTGAATAAACATCTGCGATGATTATGCATGAAAGATGTATTGTAAATTTTATAACATTAGAATAGTATGTATATTCTAGCTCCAGTCCAACCCAAAGCTGATCGAAAGAAAAACGAAATGGCTAGTTTCGAAGATTTTATGATACAGCTATTTTCAATGATGCTGGCTGGGATGAAAGAAACAAGTAAAAATGCTAACGTCTTTGAATACCTAACAAAGGGTGGATATAGACTAAAAAGCTAAAAGGGCTGAGCATAGGTTACACTTTCCAAGATCTGCTCACATAACTATAACCATAAGTTTCACAGAATTCCCACATGGACAAAAGGAAATGAGACGACGAAAATACAAAAACTCATCAAGGGATAATCGTAAGTCAGGTCGCGTTTTGCTCTGGAGGCATACTACAAGCAGAAATATGGATAAATATAAATATCTGGGATGGCAAAGTTGACCATCATGACAACTAGCAACAGAGGTAGGAACAAAGCAATCGCGTAATTCTGCATTTCGTAACTGTAACCAAAAGTTTGGAAAGATTAGTGTAAAAAAATACAGTACAGTACAAGGTCAATAAACAAAATATTGAGCAGGAATCACTTTGATATAGGTGGAACTTATTTGAGATTGCATTAAATACCAATACACATATTTTTAAATGCGTATTGAAAACATAGAATTTTCTGTTAGACCTGAGAGTCCTACAAAAACTTAAAGTGGGGACAATTTATAGCCGAATATACAATAGAGGAAGGATGCCTAATATCGAGTAGGTTCCGAATATCGGGCAGCGGTTTATTAGACGAGCTACTACAGCCATCTACTGTTATAATGACCAACATGTAACAGGAACCACATTAAATGCAACCTGTAATGTTCATATGTTTTTGTGAAATCCGCCACGAATATTTTGAAAGTGTTAACTGAATTGGTGTTTTCATGAAAAGGTAAGGTCTGTTCTTGTTTATTTTTATGTTCATATGTCTTCTGTAGGCTTGCAGCCATCCACTAAGGATTAGAAAAATGTCCCTTTCGATTTGCTTTTTAAGATATATTGTCTTAATATTTTGAGGTTATGTTTCCTAATATCGGGCATGTAAAGAGGTCAAATATCGGGTACCCGATATAAGGAACACTTGATGTTGTGACGTAGATATTGTTTCATTATATTGAAGTTATAATTATTAAGCATCTGTTTATTCACAGATGCCTCCAAAAAAAAAGCAATGGAATGCAGAAGCGATGAAGAGGGCAGTAGAAGCAGTTAAGAACAAGGAAATTGGAACTCTCAAGGCGTCTAAAGCATTTGGCGTGCCCAAAAGCACACTGATTGATTATGTAATAAGTAAGAAATCGGTTGATACATTACTTGCTATCAAATTAGGCAGAAAACCTACTTTAACAAATGAACTTGAAGAAGCACTAGTTGAGTATGCTCTCGAAATGGAAACAAGGTATTTTGGTCTCCGAGCGTCAGATGTAAGAAGACTAGCCTTTCAGCTGGCGATACGTAATGGGCTTAAGCATCCTTTTTCTTGCCGAAGTGCCGCTGCTGGAAAAAAAATGGTTGAAATCGTTCATGTCAAGACACCCAAAATTGTCTTTCCGAAAACCACAGGGAATTTCTGCAGCCCGTGTTAAGGGTTTTACAAAAGAGAATGTTCAAGCATTTTTCAACCTCCTTGGTAGCGTTTTGCCAAAAGTTGGCTTTAATCCAGCAGCAATCTATAATGTTGATGAGACTGGTATTACGACAGTACAACACAAACATGCCAAAGTGATAAGTTTGAAAGGAAAAAGGCAAGTTGCAGCTTTAACTGCTACGGAACGGGGTGCTTTAGTAACTATTGTAACGAGTATGAACGCTGTCGGTCGTTACATACCACCAATGTTGGTGTTTCCCCGCAAAAATATGAAGCCTGATATTAGATGGACACTATTCTCATTCAAGGAATATTGATGTTATCAACATTGCCAGAGATAATTTCGTCCATATTATCTGCCTACCTCCCCATTCTACAAATAAGTTACAACCACTCGATGTCTCCTTTATGTCACCTTTCAAAACTTATTATGCTGCTGAAATTGAAACATGGCTTAGAGCAAATCCAGGGAGAGTTGTAACTTCCTATCAAATATCGGAACTAATGGGAAGAGCCTATTTAAGAGCAGCGAGTTGTGAAATTGCAGTGAATGGTTTTAGAAAATGTGGAATATTTCCATTCCAACCGACAATTTTCCGAGATGACGAATTTGCCATCCATTCTTCAAATGAAAGACAATCAGTCGAAGGAGATAATGACGAAAATCAGATTGCTGTGGATTCTGCTGTTGCTGAAAACTTAAGAAAAGAAAGAGAAACTACACCACCCATTTCGTTGTACCTCAGTATATTTGTCCTATACCTAGCCTAAAGACAAAACATCAGTCTCCAAGGCCAGGTTGTTCGGGTGAAGCTTCTAAAAAAGGAGGTAAACGTGGTTCAACAGCTATCCTCACTTCTACGCCTTATAAGACAGATTTAGAAGAGAGCTTGAAAAAAAGAAAAAAGATCACATCGAAAAATGTTAGCCTGAATCAAAATAAATCAAAACTAAAAAACGAGAAGGAAACAGTTAACAATAAAAAATCGATCCCAAAAGGAAAAAAAGGAAGAAAGAGGAAGATAAGCTCATCTAGCAGTTCTGATAGTGATGAAATTCAATTTGTAGACACGGATGACGACATGGACCAAGATGATGTCGATGTGGAATGCTTTTATTGTTCCAACTGGTTCTCTGAAGATATTTCTGGATCCAAGTGGGTCCAGTGCATGAAGTGTCTGCGTTGGTGTCACGAAGATTGCTCAGATATAGGCAAGGAGAAATCATTTATTTGTGAATTATGTTTAGATGGATAAAGACTTGTTTCTTTTGAATTTTATTCTCTGGTTATTGAGAAATAGTTATTTTATTTTTTGTATTCTCCTGTTTCTTACTGTAAAATAAAATATCTTAGATAGCTTATATTGCTACTTTGCATTTTTTAAAGAAGTTGTAGCCTAATATCTGGCACCCGATATTTGGAATCGACACTACCCGATATTAGGCAACCTTTTTTTAATTTAAGGAAATGACACCATTTACGAATTTTCTGAATAACAGCAACTGTGTTTACTTAATTTTAATTATCTCTTGTAAAACAAAACTAGGAACAATAAGCAATAAATATGTCAACCAATTAACTTTTGGGAATGAATAGAAAAGTTTTACTGAACATTTTTAAAAAGGTACCCGATAATAGGCGTCCTTCCTCTACAGACAATACTGCGCCATCACTATTCTATGCCACATCACTTAGGTCTGACGGATGTGATTGAGGTGGTTATTATTACACCAGCCTGTATAAAGTAGCATCCGTTTATATTAGTATATGACAACGGATCATCCTCTGGTTTTTCAATCTTTATATGGGTTCCATCAATGATTCTAACGATTTCAGGAAATCTATTTATTATAGAAATGCTGCATTGTCCTATATTTTTTCTTCTGTTTGCCATTTTATGATTTCTGGTGCCAAACTACTCAAAAAGTTTGTCAATCTGGATATAACTGCATGCACGGTACTCACGGAAATATTGATCCTATCAACTACATCTCAGGATGGCTGTTTGATATCCAGCGAACCATAAAAATTTACAGGTTTCTTTATATGAAGTTAGACTTCCATATGGCACGGCTTCATATTTAAAATAGTTACTACGACGGAATTTCACTACATTTTTTTCTACGACTATCTTGTCATGCTCACTGTAAAATGTTACAAAAACTCGTAGTTGTTGAATAATGGTACTATTCCCTCCACATAATTTAGGTTTTTTGATTTAATCCTCTCTTCCGAAGAAAACTCGGGCATTCCCGAGTATTGGCTGCTTAGTATATGGCTCATAATTTTTTTTTACTCCGAAGCAGCCGCGCAGGCAAAGCCTAAATGCTAGTGCAGCGAGGCTGCTCTGAGGAGCTTAAAGAAACTTTGTTAATCCGATTTTTAAGCTGCCTAAGGTTGGTAGAACTGGAAAAAGCCTCCTCATCCCCCCACTCGATACACTAGCTACAGAGGAGCGGTCGTTTTGGCCAGTTCTGGATATACGAAGTTCGACACCTTCAGTATGGGAGGTCGAAGTCAGGGGAGTTTGTCTGATAGGCCATTGCACGGCAGCATCATCGATGATAGCTCTGAGACGCAAAGCTTTTAGCCTAGCGGTAGAAGAGAGCTAGATCGGCGTCGGCCCACCGGTGTGAAAGTGTCCACAAACTGTTCATTAGAAAAGAGTCATCGATCAGTAAATGCCTTCTGCGAAGCGATATTAGTCAAGATAGTTTCGACTCACTCTGATACCTGTCTCTGTCACTGATTGACTGGCTTTCCCTGAACTGTCAGAAGGTTATATCGGCAAACAGTCAGAAACTGTACGAAAAGGTAATACTTCTCTGATTCTGATTTTGACAGTCACGTACAAGTTACCGACTACTGGGGTGCATTTGTTAATCACTTGATAATGTAATACGGTACATAGTAATGAAATGTAGATTGGATCTTTATTTTTAGATCGCATAAATTATTACAGAGTCATGTAATGACACTTGATGATAGCCGACTAATTTCTAACCACGTCTTTTGGGACCATTGTAATTATTATAAGAGACCCAGGGATACGAGGTAGCATTTATTATGAAAAATATACATTCTGCCACTTTTGAGCAGCTTTTGATAACCAAATAAAATAAACAAACTATGAACCATGAGAATGACAAATGACAGAACTCTCATTCCCAACGTTTCGAGCTCGGAAAGAAAGGCACACTATTGACGTTTCAGAAGGATTACTTTGTTCTATTTCCGAACGCAAGTAACAGGTACGTCAAACAATTACGAACGCTAAAATGCTAAAATTGTTACAGAGCAGTAGAAAGTACTGAACGCAGCCCTGAACAAACCAATGATCGAAACGTAAGTAAATAGTAATTAAAACATCTGTCTTGATCTAATAGCATCCGGGCAATCGAATGCTGTAAACTTAAAATTACATCAGAAACTGAGTCCAGATGATATCAGCCGTGAAACAGCCCTTGTAGGTGGCGCTTCTTGCACACAACGTTTTGAGTTTTTCAAAACAGAAGAGCATGAAACAGCGCTGGCTACGGTTGATCATGGTTAGAAAGATGGAAAGCAAACAAATTTAGTTCAACCGGCGCATATTTATGAATCTTAAATCAATAGGTTTAGAACTTTTTTCTTCACTTCATCATTAATTGCAGTGATTAAAATGTGACTATTACGGATTCCAACCGGGTATTAAAGTGTTTACAACGCATTTTCAGGAAGTATGTTGATATTTTATGCTGACTCTATGTCTGTACAACATTGGATTACTAACGGCGTAGTTACTAGGGGCATATCATATATATAAATGTATAGAATACGTTACCCTGATAGCTTTATTAGTGCTTAGTATTCCTACTACTTGACGGAGTCGACTATTTCATTGGTAGCGAGATCTACATCTGTACATAGTATAGATGTCGAGTAGCGATAAGTCAGAATACGAAGGGGTATTTCTGTCATTTCAGCGTATGGGCATTATCTAATTGATAACTGAACTGCCTGCGTATATGGTCAACTTGCTCGATGCCATTTCCTTGCGACACTGCCATAAAACCCTCGTTTTCTACTGCTCATGAATGCTTTATAGAACCCTGTGAAATGTTGGATCATACCGCTATAGATTTATGTATATCCTCTTATGATTCATTCAAACGACTCAGGATTTACTTCAAAGATAAATGCAAAAACTTTCCAGCATATCCAATATATCAGTTTGTTCTCTATGATCCAGTTCAAGGGGATTTCTGCTATATCCAGCGTGACGACTACTTCTATCCCGCTCCTGAATTATCACGTTCAGCTGCTGAATTCTTAAATTCTCATGCATGGGAATACATGCATTCTGAACGAAAAGTAGGACAATATGATGGTAACGGAAACACATTTTACATAGACGAAGGTCTCTCTTATGCATTCCACCTTCGATTCTTATTAAATTTTTTGAATAAAATCGCCGTTGGCAAATATGAGATTGCTCAATAGGTTTTTGAGAAGTAATCTGTAGGCGAGAGAGCGGAATACGTCGCTTATGCAAAAGACTTTGAATCTGAATTGTCCTCCGTATCACAGAACGTCATCTTCAGCGGTGCTTTTATGGGATGGGGTATGGTGCTTCTTGTGTGTCAACTATCAATAGCTTGCTAACACTACAATCATTTTATCTCGCAACCTCCATAAGGCGAAACCGTACAACTACAAAGATTCAGTATCCATCTGTGCTGTTGCATTTTCTCCAAACGACAGTCCCATATGCCGAGCGTTTGCTGGATTACAATTCCCTAGCTCTCAGTTGGCTTATATTTTATAAAAGGGCCCATTTCTGGAAAGAAAATTAATGAAATTGCCATTGGGAAATCTATTTCATTTTAGTCAGTACAATCGGAAATTCGAGGATGTTTTATTTCGTCGGGAAGTTTTAAATTGAAACTTCCTTTCCAACTAACGTCGGAAATCTAGATACGTCGACGATGTTTTATACAGCGCGGGATAATACGAGAAAACTGTTATTTTTCCACTGAAGTGAGTACCACTGGCGCCAGATGAACTATTATAGAGCGAACAATTATACTGAACCACTATGATTTAGTCTCCATTTAGAGCTCTTCCTTTTTTTCAATTTTCTTAGGTATTCATGTTTGTCTTTGATTTGGTTATGGCTAAGAGAGACCGATAAATCGACGAAAACGAGTTACATGGTTTTTTGTCATCTAGATGTCATATAACATCCAAAAAACGTAATTTCTTATTTTTAAATCCCAGTGGAATACCTGGTGGTACAGAAGATAAAAAACATTTTTTGATCAAGACTGCAGATAGAGCTTTTGTGACCTTTCGTCGATCTCAGCAAAAAATCAACATTAGATTAATTATCTACGCGTTCGGTCTAGCCGACAGACATGATCGCTGATACTAGTATGCAAGAATTCTGTGCTCGTATACCCTATTCGTAGTCCTTTTACGCCCCGACACAGCAAAGATGCAGCGCGGCAAAGACTATGAACAAGTGCAGGATTCGTCAGGGTATCGCCGGCACGCCGACGCCGGCAGTTGCTGTTCATATTCGTGGCATACAATGCGTGTGTTATACGTTAGCATGTCGTCTACGGATACAGCAGATGAAACTGAGAATATTTCTCTCAATGCTTCCTTCCACCATGCTTCCTCTTCAGTGATGCTCATCCCAGAAAACGTGGCTAGAAGGGACATTTGAATATTCAGGCAAAATTTCTTTAACCTTTATAAGAGCGGAATTTTAGACCATCCTGAAATAAAAATTCATGATATTGAAAGACGTGTCACGAACAAAACAGGCTTATGTCTTAAGACAATTTTCAACATTCTTAAAGAATATAAAAAAAACTAAAAATTGTGTCCACCACACAAGAGGCTGCATTACACGAAGCTGTTGGATACAGTTGATAACTTTGACCGGAATGCCATCAGACGCAAAATCCATAAATTTTTTGAGAGGCAGGAACTTCCCACCATAGACAAAATATTACAGGTTAATAGTGATGACGACTTACCTACTTTCAAAAGCACCACATTCTATAGTTCACTCATAGGTCTTCATTTTTAGTATAGATGACGGGACAGAAATAGTACCTTGATGGCCAGCCAAGAGATTATTTTATAGAGAAGAGATTATTTGAAATCAATAAAAAATATCGCGACCAGGGCAGGAAGATTTATTACGTGGATGAACCCTAGATAAATGCATATACAAATGCACATACATCACCTAAAGTATGGGCTGACTCTACAATTAAATCAGCAAGACAAGCCTTCTTAGATGGACTAACCACTGGCCTAAAAAATCCGCCAGATACGTGTATCTTACCAACTCGTCATTTGTGTTGTTAAAATGGTGTCAAGTAGACTGAATCTTTGAGCTTACGCTGAAAACTTAGCCACACTAAACTTACCAGATATAGGTAAATTTGGAACCAACACCTGTTAGATACTGTGCTTGTACTACTATTAGTTTTCTTGAATACTATATGAAATAATTATTTCCAGGAAAAGGAAAACGATCTGTTATCTGTCACATTAGCAGTGAATATGGCCTTGTGCCCACTGCCCTATGGGCATTTGACTCAAAGAAAACGACCGACCACCATGAAGAAACGGACGGGAGTTCATTTGAACGATGGTTTGGATAAACGCTCCCAAAGCTTGTCGACAATGCCGTCATTGTACTTGATAATGCTACATACCACACTAGAAAACTAGAAAAAAATTCCACAATGTCCACAAGAAAGGCAGAAAGTCAACAATTGCTCCTATCAAAAGAACGAAAATATGGCCAAAGCAGAACTTATCCATCTAGTCAGGCAGCACAAATATAATCTTGATGTTATTGACGAAATGGTTAGAAACCAAAATAAGACCGGTTTAAGGCTATCCCCTTATCACTGCGAATTAAATCCGGTTGAAACGATTTGGGAAAATATAGAAAACTGTGTGGCTGCAAACAATAGAACATTCAAATTTTCTGACGTGAAATATTTATTTTATGAAGCTGTCAACAGAGTGGCGGCAAACCATTGGAAAGACTGCATCCCTCACGTTCAAGAGACATATCGAAACAAGGATGTGGGATCTAGACAATACGATCCATATTCAAATTGAACCCGTAATAATAAACCATTCGGACGATGATTCAAGTACTTCCAGCGAATAAAGAGTTGTGAAAAGTATGTGCACTTCTTTCTATAAAAATAATTTATTTTGTTAGATTACTCCAAGACTATTGCGGAAAATACGAACCTGTACGATTTCGCTTTTGGGCATGTTGTGTTTTGTCTGGGCGTAAATGGACTACGAATGGGGTATAGTATGCATTTGAAATTAGCTTTCCTGATAAAAATTTCCTATTTTCACCTTCTGCTATTCCAGGTGAACTAAACCTTGGACTATTTTCAGATACGAATATTGTCTATAGTCATTAAACAATGCTAGAGCGTCTGCCACCCCATAACCACCGCATTGAGATGATGGCAACTATGATCTTCATCATTTTGCAACAGTTATGGATATCTAGTTATTTCTGCAGGCACTTTGGTGGCATCTGTTTGTGAGACCAATCGTGAACAAAAGCAGCCCAATATCTGACACCGTAACACCACTTCACTCCTAGCACCTCCGCTTGCAGGTGTCGGATCGAATCCTCGGAATTGGAAGTTTATGCTCCAACATCCTGCAGGATGTTTGTCGGCGTCGGCGGTGCGGTGGCGAAATGTGAAAAATAAATGGTGCGAAATAACACGCAACACGAGCGATCGGAGCACGTCGATCGAGATTTGTGTCAGGAAGGCAAGCAGGCTGTAGCAGAGACTGCCGGGCGTGGTACATATACAGTGTTCCCATACTTATTTTTTGAACGGATGAAGTTAGCGAACTGGAATTCTTAATGATAAAATTGACATACGAATACTATGTTTTATCGTAGATGAACAGTTGTAAGTTTCAATATGGCGGCCGTGCGCCATTTTGTAATATGTTTTATACAAACGCCGAACTTCATACTCAGTGCGACATGTATGTACATATAAATATCTCTCCTTAGTGGATACGTTTCTGATTTTATAACTTCCAGTATACTTCAAACACACATTAGGCTATGTTTTGGAGTAGAAAAGTCGGAATGACTATGACAGAAATTACCCAAATTATGAAACGCTTGCTTCTGGTTATGTGCACTATTTTCTTTAAAATTTCATTACCTAAGAAAAATCGAACAGAAATAAACTATAGCTTTATTACAAAATAGGTTTAAAATCATTATTAGATACTCATATTTTTGAATGTTAATTCAATATCTCGCAAATCAGTCGTCCTATACAAGCGCCTATCATCATACCCAGTGTAAATCAGGGGTCTTATGAATAATTTTGGAGCTCTTTATGAATATAAAATCACTATCTTATATAAAGGCCGACTGGCGGGCAGTCAAAGATCAATGCTTGTGTAGATTAAATCGCTTATAACACAATAACCAGTCAACAAAACGTTATGGTATGTTACATGAACCTTTGTCGTTTTAGAAGGGTTTATATAAATGTGTGATAGATAGAGGGATACTCGGTAAGGAAAGTGGCAGATTGTGACAATATTTTTTGAATGAAGTATTCCATATTAGATTACATATTCGGATAGACCCTTCCCAGAAAAGAAGATTGATATAACATAAATATCGTTTTGGTGACGCACTAAGAGCTTTGAAATAAGGTACAACACCGTCCCCCATTCCATTTAAAAAATGTCCTAAAACGGTGTCCAACCGCCAGCTTGACATGCACAACCGCTAAATCATTACCTCAAGATTCAGCTTGCAAAGTTAACTCGTTCAAAATATGTGAGAGGAGCTTTTTTAAAAGCACTGTACATATTAGCTGTTTACAATTTAATGTTTAGTTTACACGCATAAAATTAGAAGTTAAATATATCATATTCACTTACCAGACGCGGATGAGCATCTGTGACATTCATTCATACAAACTAGCGAAAAACTTGACGTTTCGATGTACATGTTTTGTTGAGAAATCTGTTTGAGTGTGTCAAATAATTGTGTCTCACTGTTAAAAGCTGAGTTTGTAAATTTACAAAGTTCAGTTACAATTTTAATTTAATTTACTAAATTGTTTATTGTGTGGAGACGCGTTCATAGATCGGCCATTGGGACTTTTTTACCACAACACAATCAAATCAACGTAGCGAAATAATTTTGAAACGACGAACTTTAAGTACCTAATATTGATTCCAAATGTATTTAAAATTACTATTATAACGTCAACCTGCCTATAAAAATATAAATTTCACGGTGGCCAATATACTGTTGAATATATTTATTGAGATAAAATAATTGGCATATAATTAGTAATTACGTGTAGGTATTTTGCTTATTTATTTATTACTTATTTGTTTTATTGTTATATTGGATTTACCTTCATAGAAAAAGACGGGATACAATTGCCTCAGTGTGTGATATGTATGAAAGTTTTAAGTAATGATAGAATGAGGCCCAAACACCTTGAAAGGCATTTGAAGCAACAACATCCTACTCTGGTTTTGAAGACGAAAGTGTTTTTTCCTCTAAAGCAGAATCACTCAAGCGGATGAGACTGGATAAATCGGGAAGTTATCACACCACACAGGTGTATCGCAGCATCTCAAGCATTTGAAATAGCTTTTATGATAGCAAAGCAAAAGAAACCTCATACTATCGGTAAAGAATTAATACAACCATGCGTCCTAAAAGCCAAGCAGATGATTTTACTAGAAGGCAAGTCAAGCGTAGAATCGACGACATAGGCAGCAGCGGTGGCCGCAGTAGTAGACTCTTCGGTCTCCTGATCAGTCGCCGTGCACTGTGCGGGTTCGAGTACCGTCCTAGGAGAAATTTTTCTCTTGGCTATGGATGTTATGATTGTCCGTAGGTGGTAGACGGTCTCTGACTGTCGAACGCGGAGGTACCACACGGCGGATCTCGTAGGCGGAGCCAGAATGTGTGCATGTTGCATGCACACGTGTTCCCTCGCCAGAGTCCGTGTAGCGTTCCCACTTTCCCATGTATCCCCCTATAGCCCCACGGTACCCAATGGGTGCTTAGGCCTTCGTGGTAGTTGGAGTATAAAACAAACATTGCAGCAGACATAAAGTCACAAATAATTAACAAAATAAAATTATGGCAATTTTTTGCCATTAGTAGCGATGAATCCACCGACATCGTTAATTGCTTGTTACATCGGCGGAGGTATCTTTCAAGAAGAGATTTTGTACTCCCAATCTTTGACAGCAGGTACTACATCTGAAGATATATTTAATTCAATATCAAATTTTATTGAAAAAAATGATTTGGATTGGAAGAAACTCATTGCACTTTGCGCCGATTGTGCACCTGCATTGATAGGTGTACGATCGGGCTTAGCTAAAAAGCTCAATGAAAAAAATCCCGCAATGGTTAGTACACATTGTGTTATTCATCGGCAAGCTTTTTCTTCCATAACATTGCCACAGAAATTACGCCAGACTTTGGACTCGGCTATAAGGATTGTAAATTACATCAAGAGCAGCGCTTTGAACAGTCTGTTACTTCCTTTACTTTGCGAGGATCTCGATTCTGATCACAAAGTTCTTCTGTTCCATACAGAAGTACGCTGGTTGTCCAAAGGCAACATGTTGGCTCGCCCTTATGAATTGAAAGAAGAGGTAATTCTTTTTTTTTTGAGTTCAAAGAAAAACCCGATTTCTTGACAATATTCAAATATTACACATTTCAATGCAGGTTGGCTTATTTAACTGACATATTTGACTCCTTGAATGAGCCAAACTTGAAACTTCAGGACAGAAACAACACTATAATAAGCAATTATGATTATGTTCAGGGGTTTAAATCAAAGCTTCAACTTTGGAATCAAAAAGTGTCTTCAGAAAATGCTATATCTTTTTCTCCACTGTTCGAAGCAATACAAAATAAAATACTAGACACAAATTTGCAAGCGTTGGAAGTCGAATTCAGCCCATACTATCGAGACATCAATTCAGGGTCACCAATATGGCACATGACAAGAAATTCATTTGTTGTCGATGTGTCACAATTACGAGAAGAAGTTCAGGAAGAATTTCTAGAAATGAAAGATGACTTACTTCCATCTTTTAACATTGGAGAAATTTTAGATCAAAAGATTGCCTGTTAATTCGACACTTGCTTCTCTTGCTTTACGAATACTAGTTCCTTTTTCGTCAGCTTACTTATGTGAGACAGGCTTTTCTGCTCTAGTTTTAATTAAAACTAAACAGCGAAATCGTCCTAATGTCGATATCGACGTAATGATTGCTCTGGCAAAACAGAACCTAGAATCAACCAACTGGTACAGAACATGCAATCTCAAGTGTCTCATTAGTACCTACACTTATTTTATTCAAGATTTTCGATAGAAAACGTTTATTAGTTTATTTAAAATTTCGAAGTTTTTTTATTAGAATTAAAATAAAAGTCTTTGTATCAATATAATCTGCGTTTGTATTTATTGAAAAAGTAACAGGGGACATGAACATATAATTTATAGTCCGGGGAGCCTCACAAAAAAAGGTTGGGAAACCCTAGTATATATCAAGACAGCATCACAGGGTTAAATGTAGGTTTGAACAGCTGACCTGGTAACACAGGAATAATATAGTTTAAAAAGTCACTCGCTCTACGGAAAAGCTGTTGCTTTCATTGTAGTTATTTGAAGTATTTGAAAGGAAAAATTATAGAAATTCTTAACTTCTACTTACCTGAAGTTTCATAGTGCCCTACCTACCTGCCAGGCTGTTAACATGGATAATTCAAGAATTTAGTTTTAAAAGTGTTCAGCCTTTCAAGGTGAGTGCGGTTTCATTCCAGCAAATCTTGGCCTGACAGCCATTTCATATCGTGGACCTACTGGCGCTGGGACAGCGCACAGCGCTACATGCAAATAGGATTGTGCTCCAGCTGGCATAGGGTGTAAAGGTTCAGAACAAGTACAGTTGAAAAAATACAAACGTTATAGAAACTGACAATAATGAAGATCTAATATGCTATAAGGCCAATCTAACCACACCTCAAATGTCAAAATCCATAAAGCAGTTTGGGGTGTTTCTCGTGCAATACAAACTTCAAAATTAAAGTCTCAAAATATTTTGATTTGATAAGATTTCATTCTACGCAGTGTACCTCTGACAAGGCAAATCCGCTGTAGCCCGTAAAATGGAAATTTCGGTTATTTTTTTGTTAAAAACCGTTATTTTGTTTCCATTAAACTTTATTATGTTATATCCAGTGTAGACTGGGACTTCCAAGAGGAATGTAGAGATAGTATTTCAGAATCCGTCAAGTCGTTTCAGCTGTAGCCCGTGGAATATATATTGCAACGTTGATTTTTTCTGATAAAATCTCTCAATTGGCTTTTGTAAATTTAAGTACACCCAGAGTCACTTGCAGTGTCAATATACAAATCTAGAGACACTTCGTATGTCATAATCCGTCAAACCGCTCAAGCTGCGATAGGATAGGCGAATAGGAGTTTCGAGGATACATTTTTTCATTAAAATTCTTCATTTCGCTTTTATTTTGACTTCCAACAAATGAATGATAATTTAATTTAAAAGGAAAGTATTAGCATGTGAAGCACTTTTCGAACTCCACACGGCTTTTTGATGTCTTGATCGGTGATTGCGTGGCCCGCATAGTACTCTAAGACCCTGGTACTATTTTATCGCAAGGCCTTTCATCGCACTTTCTTCCTCAGTTATTGGAATTTGCATTTCGAAAAACAACTTTGTTATTAACGACTGCCGTGGTGAAATGTAAAGAAGCGACTGCCAATGCCTCTATCGGTAATTTATGCGGATATTTTACGATTTGGTCAAGCATGGCCGAACCTGCGCGTTAAATTGATCATATCGTTGAACAATTTCTTATCATTGATTTGGTCAACACACCAGGCCAATAGATGACGGCTCACTTCATGATTGTTTGATTATTTTATGAAATGGTCAATTTAGCGATATGGCCAAGACATAGATATTTGAAGGAGTGTACCTTAATGCTTGACAGTGATATATATCGTTATTTTTTTAATGAAGAAGTTTGTTTCAACACCAACTAGTTATCATAAGTTACAACTCAATACTTGAGTAAACTATCCTATCGAGTTATGTGGAGTGGCCTGATCTGCTCTACCAGACGCAACTTTCTTCGAATGTTTCTGATGAGGTCCTGGACGGAATTCAGATCAATTTTTCTCAGTATTTCGTGAACTCGCCAGCCTCAATGATAAGCCTTCCTAGACAGAACAGCACAGAAGGCCTTTATTGGGCGAGCCTGCGGCAAGTTTGAGAACAAAACGTAGGGGAGACCGGGGATGGTTGACTAACCGCCAAAAACTCGTCAACGATATGGTATTACGTCATCCCGGCCCAGCCGCGCATTACTCCCCGACCCCCGCTCAGTCGTCCGAAGCGCCACGTCACGGATGCACGCCGTTTTAGAGCAGTGACACGTGATTTGTTTTCGTATCATGTAACATTTTCATATTGCATATTTTTCCATCTGACACTTACACATTTTATGTTAACCATTTGCCTATTCGTCAGAGTCGTTCGTGAGTACATATTGATAATATTTCATGTATTATTTCTTAAGTTGATGGCAGTGTTTAGGTAACCCATGCATTGAAACTTAAAATGACGTCTGGGGTTGGTAGACTAACTTCTTGCGGGGCTGGTTGAATAGTTCGTCAACCAACCCCAATATAATTTGAAGTTTAAAATATCTCGTAAATTAACCTTTTATTCGTGTTTTAATTTTCATTTTGTTACAGTACAATGAGGACCTATAGAAGAAGGATTGAACGAGCTGATACACCAAAAGATGTCCTAGAAAGAGCTTGTCACCTAATAATTTTTGACACAAAAAGTATTAATGCAACTTCAAAACAACATACGTTCCCTATAAGACATTACATCGTTATGTGGAGAAACTAAAGGAGAAATTGGAACGTAATCCGAACTTGACGAAAGCAGAATTAACTTTGGACTCAGTGGGATATATTAAAAATAGACAAGTTCTCACTGATGAAGAAGAAGAAGCTTTAGCAAGTTATTTAAAGAAATCCGCTGATATTTATTATGGATTGACACCATATGGGACCCGAAAATTAGCATGTCAGTTCACCATACACAGTAACAAAGCTATGCCTGATTCTTGGAGAACAAAGTTGTTAGCTGGAGAAGGTTGGTTAGGGTCGTTTCTCGAACGTCATCCTTCCTTATCCATAAGGACGCCTCAAGCAACAATTCTTTCAAGAGCTACATCATTCATCAAACATAACGTCAGTATGTTCTTCGTTAATTTAACTGCTGTTTACCAACGTTTGAATTTAAGCCCTGGTGATATCTGGAACGTTGATGAAACAGGTATGACAACCGTGCAAGTACCTAATGTAGTAATAGCACGACGTGGTGTTAAAAATCTAAGCAAGATGACATCTGCTGAGATGGGTACACTGATGACAGTTGCAGTAGCTGTTTCAGCTGTAAGAAATATAGTTCTACCAGTTTTCACATTCCCACGCGTCCATTAAAAGTCCCATTTTGTTAGAGGTGGCCCTATACGATGTGAAGGTGATGCTAATCTGTCTGGCTGGATGAAAGAGGAGAACTTTATGAAGTTCTACAAACATTTCGTGAAACATGTTAAATCTAGTAAAGAAAAACCTGTATTTTTGTTGTTGGATAACCGTGACTCTCACTTACCAATTGAAGCGTTGGATTACTTTAAAACTAATGGGGTGACAGTTTTATCATTCCATCCACATTGTAGCCACAAGCAACAACCTCTTGACAGATCTGTGTTCGGACCATTGAAAAAGTATTTCAACCAAGCATGTGATAACTGGCTGGCTAGTAACTCGGGAAAGACTATCACAATTTATGAAATACCGGAGCTGGTTAAAACGTCACTACCATTGCCTGCTACAATTGAAAATATTCAATCAGGATTCGGAGTATCCGGGATTTCACCATTGAATGAAAACATTTTTCCTGACTCCGAGTTAAGTGGTTCTTATGTGACAGATAGACCGATGCTCACTTCCCCTGATGGTGATAATCCTTCGGCATGTGATGTGAGCACAATGTCTGTTCCATCGACTTCCGATGCATCTAATAGGTTGTCTATCGTCGAAGAGGTTCTAATTTCTGATCACCATACAATAACTGAAACTCACTCTCTGGCACCGCAATGTTTATCTGAAAATACAGACCACATTACTACCACAACACCCTCTCCTACAAGATCTTTGAGGACTGAAAGTGAGTCACCTTCTCTTTTTGACGAAACATTCAATTCTGTATTTGAACCGGAACTGAGAGAAAACCTCAAAACACCAGAAAACGTTCATTCTACAGAAACAAATATGCCCGCATCTTTACACAATCTAAACCTTCCCTCAACTTCATCAGCAACGTTTGAAGAGCCAAGACCCTTTCCAAAAGTGGCGCCACTTTTAGAAAATAGAATAAATATTCGGAAACGTAAAAGTACTATATATACCGACACCCCGGAAAAACTAAATCTTTTAGATATGAAAACAAAAGAGAAACATATAAGAAGAAAAAAACAGATACAAAGGACAGAATAGAAAAAGGAAAAGGGAAGGGCAAAGGAAAAGGAAAGGGTAAAGGAAAAGAAACAGATATAGTTGATGAGATTGCTGATGACACCGTCGATGAAAATGACGGTAATGCTGTAGATTCAGGTGACGAGAGTACGATTTGTTTAGAGTGCACTGAAACCTACGTCGATAGTGTTCCAGGCGAAAAATGGATTCAGTACATAACTTGTAAGTTATGGGCTCATTCCAAATGTGTAAGAGGTGATCTAATGTTTTTTGAATGCAAACGTTCCGCTTCTGATATTGAAGGCTTATATTATAAGATATAAAGGAACTGTTTAATTAATGAAACTAATAAATGTTTAAATAAATCTAGGAGTTGATAGTTTTGTTAAAGTCTTATTGTAAGATAATGTCTGTAACTGATTAAAATTGTTTTTGAATAAAATGTTTTGTTAAATTATAAAAAAAGTTTCATATCTTGACTCTTCTCATAATTTGTCACTTATTGATACGTAAGTCTACATACACGGGGCATACAGTCAATCTTCCCTGGAGCCGGTGTAAATTGACTAAGAATTGGAGTTCTGTAAAATGCGTTAAATTTTATCCATTGATGCAGTTTTATTGTCTGTATGTATAAAAGCACACAAAATATGTATGATGTTGTAAAAAACTAGTCAACCATCCCCGGTCTCCCCTATGTTGTGCTTGTCGAATCCAGTTTTGGGTATCTCATGAGTAATAGCATGATGCTAGGTCTGGCCAAAAATTTGATATGGCCATTAGCATGATGTTCGTGGACAAACTGAAGCAATTTGGTAACGCAGTTATCAGTATAGCTCTGACTATACAAAGCTTCGCACCTCACTCTTCCCACAAAATGTTGGGGTACACCCCCGTTGGAAATTGCGCAAAAGACAAGAATTTTATCTGCAACTTTCGCTTTATTTTTGTACGTGACATTGTCAGGGCACTTCTTCTCCTCCTTCTCCTTGTTCATATAAAATCCGTCGTTTTACTTCATTTCAGAGTTACTCAAAGTAAAATACTTTCCGTCATCCCGCCTCATTTGAAGACAGCATCTTGGTAAGGAGTTGCACCTGAGAATATTTGGGGCACTCAAGTCTCTTTCGATATTCAAGACTATTCCTCTTCAATTCCAACGATATCGTACTCTTAGAAGATTTGTATTGACGAGCGAGTCTCCTTGTTGACATTCCAACCTTTTTTTTTTTTGGTCTTTTCATCAATCTCTCTGACCTCCGTGCAGTAAATGCACGTGGTCTTCCACTTTTTGGGAGTTTTAGACATAGTATTCCCTGCTTGCATTCCGCTATTGTTCGATAAATGGTTATGCGTGAAATGCTTTAAATCTGGAATATTCGACAAACTTCAGCTCTTGGTACCCACCCAGCCAACTTGTAGATACTTTTTCTTATTTCTAACTTATAGGACATCCTGAAACGAAAACACCACAATAAATAAATGGCAGCTGAGAGTAAAGTAAGTAAAAAAATGTTTCTTTCCAGAGGTAACTTGATATTATTTTGTGTTTGTTAAAATTAAAGCCAATAAATTTTGTGCCAAAACTCTTAGTGATCGGAGATTTGCGTTAAGAAGACAGAAAACGGCACTGTGCTTTAAACATAAGCTGTGAGGTTCCACATTACCAAGAAAACGAGGTGTTGAAAACTTCTTTTCCGTTTATGATATCTCTTGAAGACGATACATGAATATTCTTCAAATAATACTGCACTACATGTAATTTTTCTGATAAAAATATATTTTCAAACTAAAGCGGGCTTAAGTTCTTTTTATGTGTATATTGCATCTCGAATATCCAAATAAAATGTGTGTGTTTGTCAATCATTTCTCAACAGAAACAATTTATATGAAATGAAATGCAAGGAAATTTTTGGAAAAGTCAGTGTCATAGAATATATTTTCCTTTTCCTTATGCATGGGTAAAATCATCTCAATTTCTATGCCGCTGGTGTAACTAGGACTTGTATTTCTTTTATTGCTTATGCCGTAACTAACCCATACTTCTGACTTGATTCCTTTTTTTCACTATTAGCATATATTTTTTTCATTATTTTGGACCTATAACTTCAACACACTTTCGGCAGGAGGTATGTTGAAACCTACTCTCTATCCTAGAAATTAGTTTGAGAACTCCCTCTATTATCACTAACAATATTTTAGAATGAATCATTACTGACTCTGCTTAGAAATTCCTGAATTTATTGAGCTTTTCTTGAAATTTCTTAGACTCATGTGTATCATCACTAGATTAAATCATAAGATCTGTCAAAAATCAGTAGAGTTAACATCCATTGGTTAAAAAATGTCCTTAGATTGCGAAGTATCACATTAATCGTCCGTTGCGCCTATGTGCGTGAAAAAAGTCTGGCTAAGGTGCACCCAGTCATTGGTAATATCGGTCAGTGGAACAAAATCACTTCATATTTTGAAAATTTCGCTCAGCTACACCTGTTGCTAAATACTTTTAGACAGTTATATATCCTTAGACTTTCCAAAAATTATATAACCACCAGAAACAGGTGTGGTTAAGAGCTATCGCATTGCATAATTAATACATCTTCTGATCTCCCGTTTTCTATTTCCACCCGTCAAAGTCATTTCCGCTTCAGTCAAGACAAATTGAGAAAAATGGACATCCGTCCGGCAATTCTGTAAGTACGTAGCACTCATCAGTTCACGCTGTTCTTTTTTCCCAGCATGAAAGGGACCTTACGATCTGTCATATAAGCCCACGTAAAGTTTTATAAATGGCTTTTTCATGTTAGGGATACTTTACCTTCATTTATCTTTTGTTTTTGCTTTTCGTGGCACTCTCCATACATATTAGTGTTACTCGCTATGGCAGCCAGACTCCAGCACATTTATTCACCTATAGACTTGTTTATGAGAATCTATATTTCTTCTATAGGCAAATTCTGAAGGACCTGTTCCTGCATACGAAATATTCGGCAAAGGCGACAAAAAAGAGCAGCATATTTTCTGATGGAAGTATATGAAGCAGTGTACTAAAGAAAGTGCCAAGTAAAATATACTAAAATATTTTTCGTAGGAAGGCTGAGTTGTAATTTCTAGATTATGTGGAACGTTATGTTCTTTTTTAAATGGAACTCCCTATATTTTATTAGATATTTGGAAACACCTCTATAAAGTAAGAAATATGATATCAAAATATTCCTAAGTTTCAAGAGCAAATATAAAGGGTGAATCAAATTCAGTTTCCACATTACAAATAAATTTTTTTTTGGAAACGCTACTGAATTTCTCAAAGGCAACGTGCCATTTCTAACGTCAAAATATAAACAAAACAGTCATGGATCAATAATCGACCGAACAACGTGTTAAAATTATCCTAGCCTATAATGAAAACGGCCGATCAAGGAAGAATACATTTCGTGCTCTACGTGAATCTTTTGGCGCACAAAATCGGCCTTGTGAGATGACAATTTGGAATTTGGTACACAAATTCTAGCAAAATGAATCCGTCGCTAACATCAAATGAATGAATGAATGAATGAATCTTGAATTTTAGAGGCATCCCGGCCACCATAAGGAGCCAGTGCATAGGCCGCTTAAGCGGGCCCTTATGCACCTCTACAATACTTAAATCACAAGCCTCGCCCTTTTAGCGAAGTTGAGAATCGCCTTGAGTCCAAGCTCCTTTACGTCCTGAGGGTCCAAAGTAATGGACCCCAGTATAGTCTGCCTATAGTAGCTCAGAGCTTCACAGCGACACAAAACGTGCGCCGAGGTCTCTTCCTCTACTCCGCAGCGTTCGCACAAGGGATCCTCAGCCACCCCCATCACGTGCAGGTGCCGCCTTAACGTGTTATGGCCAGACAACAGTCCCACCAGCAACCTTAGGTTGGCTCTACCCAGAGATAGGCAGAAGCGTCCATCCTTAGCACTGGGCCCTTCAATGAGCTCTCGTGCCTGGCGGAGATGTCTAGAGATACTTCTCCATTTCTGAGAGTGTTGTCTTGCAACCCACGTCTCCATTTTCCTCCTAGCTTTATGCGCGGTTACTCCTAGAGCTGGCTCAGGACCAACGAGCTTGCTGGCTGATCCTGTTTTCGCCAGAGTGTCCGCCGTCTCATTGCCCCTTATCCCAGCGTGCCCCGGTACCCATATTAACGATACCGGATGCCTCGCTGCGAGGCAATCCAGAGCCTCCCTGCATTGCAATACAAGACTCGAAGTAATCTTACATGCACTTAGTGCTTTCATTGCAGCCTGGCTGTCGGATAAGATTGTTATTCTTCTCCTAGGCCCACCCTCCTCCAGAATGTGAGATACACAAGCCAGAATCGCAAAGATTTCCGCCTGGAAAATGGTGGTGTACTCACCGCGAGGCAGAGATAGCCTAGTTCTAGGTCCAGAGACCCCAGCACCTGAGCCCTCTTCGGTGACCGAGCCGTCCGTGTACCAGACCTGCCCGCTCACTTCGGAGAGTCCTCGGCTACCGGCGTCCCACTCCTCCCTCGTTGGGTACTCCACAATGAACTTGCGGTTGAAGCGATATTTAGGGGTAATACGATCACCCCTGCTTAGAAGGACGGGGTCCTCCCTTTCTAATTCGACTAATATGGCAGTATGCCCCTTGACCGGATTCAAGAAAGCCCAGCTGCCCTGACTCCACAGTCGCTGAGCGACTACTCTCGCTTCACCGCGGATCACCAGATCCAACGGTGGGAGATCCAACAGAGCTTCCATTGCACTCAATGGCGTTGTTCGCACTGCGCTTGTAATGCTAATACAGGCCAAACGCTGAATTTTATTGAGTTTGGCCTTAGTTGACTCAGTTCTAATGCAAGGCCACCAGACCAGGGAGCCGTACAAGAGAGATGGACGTACTATCGTCGTGTAGAGCCAGTATACCACTTTGGGTTTAAGCCCCCACCTTACACCGACAACACGTCTACAAGCCCACATCGAATTGCGAGCCTTGCTAACCTTGTGTTCCACATGCTCTCTCCAGTTCAGTTTGCAGTCCAGGATAATTCCCAGATATTTCACTGACTGGGACAAAACTAATCTAGTCCCAAAGAAGGTAGGCATGACCAGTCCGTCAAGCCTTCTTCTCCTAGTGAATAGGATTAGCTCGGTCTTTTCAGCATTAACAGAAAGATCGACTTCCCTACACCACGATTCCACGGAGCGCAGAGCGCCCTGCATAATTTCCGAGACTGTTCTACAGAAACGCCCCCTAACCACTATGCTTACGTCATCAGCATAGGCTTGCACGTAGACACCCATACTGTTTAGCCTAACGAGCAGTTCGTTCACCACGATACACCACAGTAGGGGTGACAGAACTCCACCCTGAGGGCAGCCTCTAGCTACGTTCACGCTGCAGCTTACGTTATTCAGCATAGCTGTTGTTACCCGACCCTCCAGAGTAGAGAGGACCCAATCTATTAGGATTGATCCAACCCCGTGTCTAACCAAGGCCTGTCTGATAGAGTCGGTTGTGGTGCAATTAAATGCACCTTCAATATCTAAGAAGGCCACGAGTGCCACTTCTCGCTGATCTAGGGTCTTCTCCAGCCTCCCGACCAGATTGTGTAAGGCCAGATCAGTCGATTTCCAGCTTGGTATGCAAACTGATTTGCATGAATGACACACCTTTCCAGTGGGCCATCCCTTAGGTATCTATCAACTATCCTTTCCAGGGTCTTAAGCACAAAAGATGAAAGAGTAATCGGTCGAAAATCCTTCGGGCCAGTATATCTATCTCTGCCCGGTTTAGGAATGAATACCACTTTAGCCTGCCGCCAACTTCTAGGTGTGAAGCCCGTGGCCACACATGCTCGAAACACATTCAACAGGTAAGGAACAACCGAAATCCGTCCCTGCTGTAACATGGCCGGAAATACGCCGTCCAGACCTGGACTTTTGTATGGGGCAAACGAATCTACTGCCCATACCGTCCTTTCGAAGGTGACAATCTCCCTTGCCGTGCGCCAGTCCTCCCTTGAGGGCCTGCGCCACTGCATGCACTCTGTGATTGATCGCGCTACTGTGGAACCGGGAAAGTGCGTATCCATCAGAAGCCTCAGAGTATCTTCCTCGGAAGTAGTGTTCCCCCCCGAGGGATCATGCAGAGATCCCAATCTTGCTTTAATGTCTTTGCATAGGACTCTGTGTATTCTTGCAGTAGCAGGAATGTCATTTATGGACTGACAGAAGTGCCTCCAGGATTCTCTGGAGGCCCTTCTAATCTCCTTTTTGTACTCCTGCAATGCCTTTTTGTATTCTTCCCATAGAGTAGAACCTCTCCTGTGCTTAACTCTGCTAAGAAGTTTGTGCACCGCTCGTTTTCTATCCTCTAAATCTTTGGTCCAGAAGGTTGCCTTGCCCTTACCTTGTACTTTGCGTAACGGGCAGTTTTCCTCATATGCGGCCGTCAAGTCCCTGCTCAGAGACTCGACAGCTGCTTCTATGTCAGAGCCCCTGCCAAGCCTGTATGGGACCGCTCCAAGCTTACTGTCAATGTCTGCCCTAAAGGACCCCCATCTAGTATGCCTGGGATTCCGAGCATATTTATCCGGAATCTCTCCATCAGTCTTGATCAGTATATACCTGTGATCCGATAGAGAGGGTGTTAGAGACACTTTCCAGTCCCTGATGTCCTGAGCTAAGTTAAGCGTGCTCAGTGTTACGTCGATAACCTCTTCTCTTACACTATTGCTGAAAGTGGGCATGTTACCGACATTCAGAACCTCAAGGTTCGATGCCCCAAGAAACTCCATCAGGTCTTCGCCCCGTCTGTTGGTGTTCGAGCTGCCCCACGCAACGTGATGGGCATTACTGTCGCATCCAATCACATGGTCGAGTCCAGAATCCCTACAGAATGCGACAAGGTCCCCCATTTCCTTAGACGGAGGAGGGTCTCTTGAATCGTAAGGAAGGTAAACCGAACAGACAACCAAGTCCCTGTCACTGCCTTCCTTCTTATATCTAATTCTGACTGCAACTAAGTCTCTGAATGTAAATTCTTTAAGTTGCCATGAGTTGACGGAAGTCATTACGCAAGCTCTGGGCTTAGTGTCCGGAGTATCGCTAAAAAGCGTATAGCCCGGTATACTAAGCCCGTTTACTGAACCGTTTCTCAGCCAGGGTTCCTGGATGAGAGCCACGTCATGTCGGCCTCGAGTGATCTCCTGAGTAAGGGCCCTCGAAGCCGCTATGCAGTGTTGTAAGTTAATTTGGATGAAATTAAAACTTACCATGGATGTTGAGAGGCCCTTCCTACACCTTCCCGAATGACGGTATGTAACCCCTATTCGGGCGTACCGCCGTCGCCGCCGCAGTCATCGCTGCCACAGCCGCCTTCATCTCCGCTTCCACGGAGGAGTTCTCGGACTCGGTTCAGGATTCCATCCTCGTCCGAGTCGCTATCGTTTCCCTCTGGGACCGGATCCATCGCAGGGTCCGCCACGATGTTTTCTGCGGATATCCCGCTTGGACCCGCCGCCTCCACGTCCGTAGCCTCCGGTGGCTCCAGCGAGAGCTGACCCGGCCGACCCATCCCCTGTGAAGGAGCCTGGTCTACCGCCACAGCTCCCGTCGGTCTGGGCTGGTCCGACTCCTGGTTTGGAGCCAGGCCAGTTCCAGCAGGTGTCGCTCCACTGCTCTTCTTCTTGCTCAGGAGTGTAAACACCCCCGAACTTCCACCGCAACACAGCCTGTTGCCGTTACCTACAATGACCTTCCAGCTTATGGAATCAACTGAGAGGACAAGTCGGACACCTATCGGCTCTTCCTTCCTCTCAAGTAGCCTCCACGCGCTGGGAAAAGTCCCAGGATTGTGCCTCCTGAGTCTCCTCGTGATGGCCTCGTTGTCCAGGTTGGGACCCGGAAACCAGGCCATCACGAGGTGGTATATGGGAAGGTCTCCAAAGCTCATCGTAATGAGCCTTGCGCCTTCCCACGGCCGCAGATCCCCCACGTGGGCCTCCAACCATGCCCTAGAGGATTCGTCCT